ACTGCCTCGGGAGGTGGTGGAGGCTCCTTCGCTGGACTAGATCTAATGGGTGGAAATTACAAGGGAGTCGTTACCGGCTAAATATCAGGAGAAACTTCCTAACTGTAAGAGTGGTTGAGCAGTGGAACAGACTGCCTCGGGAGGTGGTGGATGCTCCTTCGCTGGACGTTTTCAAGCGGAGGCTGGATGACCATCTTTCGGGTATGTTGCAGGGCTCTCTTTTGGCTGTGCTCCTGCAGAGTGCAGGGGATTGGACTAGATGACCTGCGATGTTCCTTCCAACTCTAACATTCTATGATTCTAAGTGTACATCCAAGAATCACAGGGCAAAACACAACACATTAGAAAGTTTTTGAACAACACGACATTCCCGATACGTGAAGACAGTACAAAGAGCTCCAAAGGACGTGAGTGGTCCCTTTCCCGGCCGGATTAAGGGGGATGAGAAGCCATTACCTGCCCCTTCCAAGCAGCGCAGGAGAGGCTCCAGCATGGGGCCCAGCAGGTACTTCTCTGCCTGCTGTGGGTGTTCTCTGGCCATGGTGAGCACCGTCGTGATGGCGACTCTCTGGAACTGCCGGGCGACAAGCTGATCCTGAATGAGAAGCAGCTGCAGAATCTGGAAGAGGGTTTGTGCACCAGTGACAAGTGGGAGGAAGGGGAAGGGGAGATTGGATTTATACCCCGCCCTTCACTCGGAGTCTCCGAGCGGCTTACACTCTTCTTCCCTTCCCCTCCCCACAACGGACACCCTGTGAAGCAGGTGGGGCTGAGAGAGAGCTCTTTGAGAACTGCTCTTGAGAGAACAGCTCTGGGAGAACTGTGGTTTGCCCAAGGTCACCCAGCAGCTGCAAGTGGAGGAGAAGTGGGGGATCAAACCCAGTTCTCCCAGATTAGAGTCTGCACTCCTAACCACTACACCAAACTGGCCACCTTCATTGCCCCAGACAGCATTTTGTTCCTCTGCCAATGGTACCCGAAGCCGCCTAAGGTCTCAGAGGGGCAAGAAGGGAGCTTATCACTAGGAAGTGGTTACAGAAAGGCAAAGACAAGGCAAAACATTCCGAAACCACCTCTATACAGTCAAGGCACAGCACTGACCGCCCCATGACTAGCAGCCCCCCTGGAATCACTGAAAAGCTGGGGTCAGACACTAATGCCTGCCTCCTGCAAAAGATGGGGCACATAGGAGGCACGGGGAAAGAAGTGACACAGGGACCGGGTGGGCAGGGATGGGGTGACCTGCAAAGATACTCATGGGAGCAGGTGGGCAGGGCACAGTGCGAGCAACGTCTCTTTTACGTTTAGGAAGAGAGTGCAGTTTCCTCATCTATAGTTCACAAATCCAGCAGAACCAAATCTTTGCAAAGGATAACCTCAGCTTTGCAAATAAGAACACGTACATGAATTGTCCCCAACAGCTTTTACTAGCCCATCAACTCACTTCACCCAGTGGGTTGGATCCTGACTATTGGTTCGTCTATCAGAGGCAGCAAGAACTTCCCCTTGATGCAACACCCCCCCCTAAGGAGACAGCTCTTTCGGCCAGCGAAAAACACCTTCACGAGTGGGACAGACTGGCAGGATGCCGCCGCTTTGCGACACTTGTCCCGCACAGAACCGGCTCCCGGCTCAGCTGAAGAACCTTCTCGTTGGGTCACCAAGCAGCCATTCTTGCTCACCCCAAGCCAGGGGGCAAAGGCCTGCCGACCCAGCCCCCAACTCTTCACAATGAGCCCCCCAGAGGACCGCTGTAGTGCATAGATTCAGGTGTCAGACCAGGGCTTGGCAAACCAGGCTTCAAATCCTTGCCCAGTCAGGAAGCCCACCGGCTCAGCCTGGGCCCGTCCCTCTCCCTCAGCCTAACCTACCCCACGGGGGTCCCTGTGTGAAGAACATGGAGGAAGCCAAGCACAGCACGCCCTGCTCTCCTAAGAGGAATCAAAAGGAAAGAGCATTCCTCCACGGTGGCACTGCACAAGGCTGCCACCTGATTCCCCATCTGCCTGCAGAACAGAAGTCGCCTCTTCCCTGCCTGGCAGGCACCTAAAATCACGACCTGTTGGAGAGAAGCGATGGGCATACCTGGGGGCACACCTGCCGGTAGTAATCTTCCAAAGAGAGGGACTGCTGAGGACAAGAAGACAGGATCCTGGCGACCGAGTCACACTTCCGCCAGTCAGCTGCTGCTGCTTCCGCATCACTGCCCCCCGCAGCCCCAGCTTAAAAGCAGGAGAGAAAGCACGTTACAATGTGAAGACCCCAGAGAGGCAGGTCCATCCACTTCCTGCGCACTTCAAGGCACCCCAACATCCTAGTCTTGCCTTCAGGCTGAGAGGAAGGGGGTGCTTGTCAGGTCCCTACCACGATGGTAAACTCTGGGCAAAGGGGAAATGACACTGACAGGAAGTGGGTGACCTCAAATCCCCCCCCCCCCCCCAACCAGCTGACACAAAGCAAGTCAAAGGGCCTCTGTTAGTGGACCCGCTCCAGCAAGAGAATGCAGGCTCCTTCTTGGGAGGTTTTCAGACAGAGGCTAGATGGCCATCTGTCAGCAATGCTGACTGTGTGAACTTAGGTGGATCCTGAGAGGGAGGGCAGGAAGGGTTGCCTCAGTGCTCAATTCTCGTGGCCCTTTCTTATACGCCCAGGGAAATGCTGATCGCCACTTTGGGGTCAGGAAGCCATTTTTTCTCCAGGCCGGTTTGGCCGGGGATCCTGGAGGTTTTTAGTCATCTTCTGGGTGTGGAACAGGGGCCGCTGCGGGTGTGGAGGGGGAGAGTTTCCTGCCTTGTGCAGGGGGTTGGACTAGATGACCATGGAGGCCCCTTCCAACTCTGTGATTCTATGATTCTAAGCTCCACAGCTCTCTTAATCAGGCAGAAAGGCTGAGGCAGAGCTCTGCAACTCCTCAGGCATCTTCCTACAGCCACAGAGGCAAAGGCATCGTCTTCCCTTCTCCACAGCTCTGGCCATTTGGAACCAACACAGCTACTGCCATCTAGTGATCCCTGACGGTGACACGCAAAAGAGCCCAAAAGAAGCTTTCGGGGTAAAAAAGAGGCCGTGGAATTCCCAAGACTGCCAAAGCGGCAGAGAGAAGCAAACACACTCCCTCCCACCGGCAGGTGAGAAGGGGCGGCTGGGTGGGCAAGCACATGGGCCGGCTTACACACCTCCTGCTCCCTCCAGGATGCCACGGACCACAGCCTGAACCCCCCCAGGTCTTCTCAGCCTCTCGGAGAGCAGCTGCCCACAGAGACGCCGCAGCCAGGCTGGAGCTGGAGCCAGACGACACTCCCCCTCGCACCCACTGGAACGAGAGGCCTGAAAGAGAAGAGACAGAGTGAGTTCAATAGCTCCCAGGACGATGTGGGAGAGAGCCAGAGGGGCCCAGCAGCTCTTGCGTCAGACAGGACCTGGGAGGCCCTCCTGCAGAGGCAAAGGCCTAATCTTTCGGTTTCAGGAGGCTCCCAAACAAGAAAGGCAAAGTTGCTCGTCTTGGAGCAGAGGTCCATCAGTGGCTATTAGCCACAAGGTACAGTTGGTATACAGGGGCTGCGGTGGCTCAAGTGGTTGAGACGCTGAACTGCAGGCTGGAAGGTCGGTAGTTCAGCAGTTCGAGACCCGAGTGCCACATGACGGAGTGAGCTCCTGTCTCTGGTCCCAGCTCCTTCCAATCTAGCAGTTCGAAAGCAAGAAATCGCAAGTAGATAAATAGGGACCACTTCGGTGGGAAGGGAACAGCGTTCCCTGCACCTCGGCGTCTAGTAATGCCGGCCATGTGACCACGGAAATGTCTTTGGACAGCGCTGGCTCTTTGGCTTGGAAACTGAGATGAGCACCGCATCCCTAGAGTCGGATACAACTGGATACATCCTATAGTTGGAACACTCTGTCTAGGGCAGTGTCAAACCTTGCTATGCTGTGCTCGCTCCGGCTGCCATAATGTTTTTTGGGGGAGGGCAGTCCTGAGGGTGGGAGTGTATGAGGGAGGGAGGGAGGCCTTTGCTTTTAGAAGATACAACTTTTCCACCAGACATCCCCTTCTCCTCCCCTTTCTGTTTTCCCAGGAAAAGTACATTCTTTTACCATTTCGGACTCTAAACCCCAGGACATGTACCTCCCCTGGTTGGCATGGCAATTAGGCTAAGCGTGGATGTGACATATGCCTGGGGGCTGTTTGGTTTTCTATAATATGTTTGTACCCACCGAAAGTCTTCAGTCCTTCCTGACACGGTGGATCTTGGATCTTGCATATACCCCAATAAACTAATCACTGCCAAAGTGAGAGTTATTGAGTATAACTGGACCAGGGTGTGACAGGCAGTGATGCTCTGTCTTCTTGGTGCTTGGGGGCAACAGTGGGAGGGCTTCTGGAGTTCTGGCCCCACTGGTGGACCTCCTGGTGGCACCTGGGTTCTGGCCACTGTGTGACACAGAGTGTTGGACTGGATGGGCCACTGGCCTGGTCTCTATGTCTTACGCCTAACTCTCTGCAAGGGATTTTCATCTCTTCAGTCTGGCGTCTTCACGCAGCACAGTCTTCCGGTGAAGTCCCTTTTACTCCCTGCTGTCAAAAGTGAGCCTCCTTGCTCTCTCTAGGTGCTTAAACAACACGGAATGCAACAGACCCCCCCCCCCAAGAACGCATTGAAGGCAAGGACCTCCTCGAGGAAGAGCGCCAAGGCAGCCCGGTACCTGTTTCGATCCTCCTTGAAGAATCAGCAGCTCTCGAACCACCAGCGGCTGGTAAACTCGGTCCAAAAGGCCTCGCAATGCCTCCCTGCAGCGGGTTCGCTCCTCTTCGGTCAGGCCCTGAAAAGTCCCACAAAGTCTCTGTCAGGGAGGGGGAAAGTTTGCACAAGACAACAGCAAAGCAGCAAAGCCTACGGTGGGGCTCTGGCTCCCCCTAGTGGGCTCTTGGTCATTTGCCACAATCCACTGTAGGGATGCTGGGAAGTTGCACTCAGGGCTTTGGCACCAAACTGATTTTCTTCAAGGGCAAAGCAGCTGACACTTGGAGTGGCAAAATGAGTAACAGTTTCCCTATGCCATTTGTCCACCCTCCCCAAGCGGCTTTTCCCCCCATGGAGAAAAGATACTGATCCCCCATATTTCCCCCCTGCAAGTGGGAAACGTGGATTTTCAACTGATGAACGGCAGAAAAAGAAAGGGTAAAGCAGCCGCTTCCTCTCTGACCACGGCACTGCTCCCTGCCGCAGCCTCCCAAACGGGTGGCAATTTTTAAACAAGTTAGGTGGCTGATTACAGGATCCCGCCCTGGTCCTCAGATTGGCAGCAGTGTTCCGTCTAAGATGAGTTAATGTGAGCTAGTTCATAGTTTCTTAGCCTCCGACTCAAACATTTTTGTCTTAGCTCAGGAAGGAGGGCTCCAGAGCAAACTAATTTATGCAGCAGCCAAATCGCTCGCTCACACCTTTAATGCCAGTAACTCACAAAGTAGTATTTTTGCTCACAGGTCTCCATAGCTTAGAGGGAACATTGATTGGCAGTAGATCTGCCTGGCGCCTGGGCAGCACCAGCCACTGCATCCGCACAGACACAACCAGCTAACGTCTGTGGGGCCACTTGGCCTACATGCCTTAGCAACCAGTCAGGCGCTCACTGGCCACGTTTGGTGGTTGCAACATTGCCTCAGTGCCCAGCAGACAAGGAGTGGCAACACGAAAGGCACACTTCTTTCTCCTGCCCTGCACACCTCCAATTTGCCCATGGCCCTTTCACTGCTGGCCCCTCTGCAGCACCAAGGCCTGCCTCCTCCCTTGTGCATTTCACCCCAGCCACTCTTTTGCTTCCCGCTGCTGACTGCCAGAGGCGGCTGCAAACTCAGCCATCTCCCCTCACTCTGAAAGTGACCAGGGGTTCCTTGGCACTCAGCTAAGCCCCTGTAGATCAAGATGGGTCACCATGTTAGTCTGTCTGTAGCAGTAGAAAAGAGCAAGAGTCCAGGAGCACCTTAAAGACTCACAAAATATGTGGCAGGGGAGGAGCTTGTGTGAGTCACGGCTCACTTCTTCAGAGAGCCAGTTTGGTGTACTAGTTAGAAGTGCAGACTCTAATCTGGGAGAACCGGGTTTGATTCCCCACTCCTCCTCCACATGCAGCTGCTGGTGTGACCTTGGGTCAGTCACACATTCTCTCAGAGCTGTCCTGGAAAGAGCAGTCCTCGAAAGAGCTCTCTCAGCCCCACCTACTTCACAGGGTGTCTGTTGTGGGAAAGGAGATTGTAAACTGCTCTGAGGCTCCTTCGGGTAGCAAAGGGCAGGGTGTAAATCCAATCCCTCTCTTCTTTAAGATGCTTCTGGACTCTTGCTCTTTTCTACAGCTAAGCCCCTGGTTTGTTATCCCAGTCAGTGTTCTTAGTACAGCCGGAACCCCATAAAATAGATTGCAGATGACCAAGTTATGACTGAATTTGCACAGACAAATAACAGTTCTACAGGAAAGGATTGCTGGGTTTTTCTATACGACACACAAATGCATCACCACAAGCTTTCTCCCCTTTTCTTCCCAAAGGGAATGCCTTTTCCATATGGCCAGCTGGAGATTTTTTAAGAATAAGAACCACTATTAAGAAAAACTGAAACAACTGCTGCCCATTTAATCAGGGGGACCTTTTTAGTGAGTCAAAATATTGTTAATTGAGTCGCTCAATGAATCAAACTGGGTGAATGTTGCTGCCCTGCTCAGCTCATCTCTTCAAGGGCGCTTCCAGACGTGCTGAATAATGCACTTTGCAACTGGATTTTACTGTGTGAAACTACAAAATCCACTTGCAAACGGTGGCCAAAATGCATTATTTAGCAGGTCAGACCGCAGAGGTGCAAACCCATCAACAGTTGGTCTCCACGATTAGGGAGCTCTCCTGAGGACAGGTGAGGAAAGTTTTCTTCTCCCCGTTCAGTTGTGATTAGTGACTGACATGTATAAAGCACCATTAGTGTGTGCAGCGCTTGACAGAAAAACAACAGAAAGATGAGTGTGTGGCATGGAAAGGGACGTGCAACTCCTCCAGTTGGAAGATGCCCAGATGCGAGCCCACCCGCAACCATTCCGAAGACCCCATTCTGGCTCAGCCAAAGGATGCAGCCCCTCGAGGTAAGCCTGGCAAAGAACTCACCGTCCGCTCCTCCTGCAGCTCCGCTTGGTCACCCTTCCTCTTTGTCGGGCCAAAGGCCAGCTGGCACAGCCCCGCCAGGAGATCACCGAGGTGGCGTGTGAGGAGGAGGCTGCCCAGAGACGGGTGCTGTGCGAGCTCCAGCAGGACGGTGCAAGTGGCATAGAGCCTGCGCGTGGCGCCAGAGGTGCTGCCAGGGGAGACCACGTGTTGAACCAGGGCGCTGAACTCTGTCCTGTGGCTCAGGGGAAGCCCAACGCCCGGCAAAAGATACGGGCAAAGGCCCAGGGTGACCACCAGCTGCAGCGCCACCCGCACGGTCTTCTCCTGAGAGACGCTGAGGGTGTCGGGGCTCAGAGGGGGAGCCGCTTCGGCCGCCCTGGAGTCCGGTGGAGGTGGGCAGTAGCCAGCCGCCAAGAGAGCCATGCACCGCTTCAGGCACAGCAGCAGGAGCAAGGCTTGGGCAGTGAAAGTCCAGGGGGTGTCCGGGCAAGGGGCCGCCCACCACGCCTCCTTGCAGGCCTCCGCTCTCAGCCTCCGCAGCTCACCCCACTGCGGGTCCCGACGGACCTTCTCCTCCAAAGCGGCCACACGGGAGTCCAGGGATTCCAGCAGAGCGGCACTCTGGGTTGCCTGGAGGGGGCCAGAAGCCGCTCCTAGAGAGAAAACCAGGGTGTGAGAGACGGTTGGGGCTGCGGAGCCCCAAGTTCAAGCCCCCGCCCCTCTGCTGTGGAGCTTGCTGGATGACCCGGGGCCAAGACATCTCCCAGCCTCACCTAACCGGCAAAGGAAAACGAGGCAGAACAGACCGCTGCAAGGACCACGCAGTCTGCCTTAGATGTCACTGCCCACCCGGGGGCTCAAAGTGTGTCACTGATTCCCCCCCCCCTCCTTTCTTGCATCTAGTAAAATGGGCTCGAGTTCAAGGTACTCTTGAAGGCTGGGGATTATTAAGAAAGGGACTGCAAATAAAACAGCCAATACTGTTATGCCCTCATAAAGTTGCTATACCTCAAGACAAGGATATTGTGGGAGCAGGAAAATACTGCAGAAGACGGAAAGCAAGATGGTTAAAGCTAAGGGCAAGATGAGGACAGGCTAAGCAGCCTTCAGTTTTGCAAACAGGGGACTATGGGGCAAGACGGAGGCATGGGGTAGAGAAAGTGGGCAGGGAGAACTTTTCCTCCCCTTTTTATAATGGCAGAACTCAGGGGACACATGACGACGTTGTCAGTCCTTATAGATTCAGGACTGGCAAAAGGAAGTACTTCTTGAATCAGTGGTGAAATTTGCTGCCAAGGGACAGGCTGACGGCTTTATGCACAGAGAGCTTTAAAAGCGGACTAGGCACGTTTACGGAAGAGAGGTCCATCCATGGCTACGAGTCGTGGTGACGAAAGGGAACCTCCAGCTCCAGAGGCAGTCAGCCTTGGACTGACCAGTGCTAGGAGGCAGCATTTGGGGAAGGCCTCGGCCTCTGTGGCTTGTCTGTTGGCCTTCTGAGACAACTGGCCGGCTGCCATGAGAGCCAACGCAGCAGGGCCCCTCTGCGAAGTTGCTGGCAACAGACTGGGCCAGCTGCTCACCTGGAACGGGCTTTGTGTGCCTTTCCGTCTCCAGTGGATGGAGAGGGCAACCTGCAAGCCCACCTCACAGGGAAGGTGGCTGAAGTGCCGCCGCAGCTCAGTGCCGGAAAGGCAGACGGGCCTCCATGGAGCTTGAGTGCCTCGAAGGGCCCCCTGGGTCAGGCCGAGCCCCCCAGCTCCCACTTTGGGGAAGGGGCACACGGGGGAGGCAGGGTTGCCAGGTCCTCCCTGGTCCCCGATGGGAGATGGGGGGAGGAAAGGTCCCCAGATCCAGGTGAAGAAGAGATTGGATCTATGCCCCCCGCCCTTCACTACCCGAAGGAGTCTCAGAGGGGCTTACACACTCCTTTCCCCTCCCCTCCCCACAACAGACACCCACCTGGGAGGTAGGTGGGGCTGAGAGAGCTCTCTAGAGAACTGCCCTTGAGAGAACAGCTCTGAGAGAACTTGTGGCTGACCCAAGGTCACACCAGCCACCGCAAGTGGAGGAGTGGGGAACCAAATCCGGTTCTCCCAGATTAGAGTCTGCGCTGTTATCACTGTTCACCTGCTGCCTCGAGTCTCTATCTAACAGCGCTTAACCACTACACGGAATCCAGGCTGGGAAACTCCTGGAGATTTGGGGATGGAGGCTGGAGAGGATGGGGACCTCCGTGGGGTACACCATGCAATGGAGCCCACCCTCCAAAGCATCCGTCCCCCCGTCCCCCCCCCCCCCCGTCTGGAGGGGGGCC